AAGGCGTGGCACAAAGGTGGTACAAAGGATTGCCATCTGTACTCTTCTCCTGGTCGGAGTGGCGATCTAAATTATGGTCCGCATTTCCATCTGGGGAAAACTATAGTCAAATGCTTAGTGATATGTTAGCTAGACGTGCTAGGTTTGGAGACCTAGCACGTCTTAAGTTTGCGTTAATTAATCGATGCAGTATAATGGCGATAAGCGCGGTAGAATGCATATTGCAAGGCATAGATAGATGATCGATCAGTCTGGTTAGAAGTGGGAGCGATACAGTATGAACATTTGGATAAACTTTTGAACTATTTAAAAATACTAGAAACATCAATACGATGATTGAAGGTTAGGTAGGTTCAGAATTTTAGATCATGCATCACTGGTAATACGACCCTATGCTATAATTGTAAACAGGAAGGCCATATTATAAATAAATACCAACAACCGATTAAAACCCGTAGTTGATATTTTAAAGTAGGTCATCTGACATAAAACTGTTATTCCAAGCTATTACCATCTCAAAAGGGCGTCAATTTTGTGAATAATAACAATATAATTAATAAATATTACAAAACTGCCATCGGGAATTCCATACCAATTGAATCGTTTGTTGATCTTGGTAGCGAGTGCTCTATGCTCAAGCAATCAGAATTATCGTAACTAGGAATAAAAAAAAAAAAAACGTTCAAACTTATAACCTACCCTCCCTCAGAGGTTTTGGTAACGCCAATGTAAGATCTTTGGGTAAAGTTATTGTTAAAATCATAGTACTTGATATTGAGGCCAATGTTGAACTGCTGATTGTCACCGATGACGTGCGTTTGTGGTATTTCGCTTATTGAAGTTTATACCAAGCCGAAGTTTGTCGGAATCTTGTATATTGAGACGAATTGTATGGGACTAAAACCTTTTTTTCGAATATAGCGTATTAACTGGGGTCTATAAATTTGATAGTGAGGGCGACGTTAAAATAGTAGTTAACTCATTAGATCCAGAACTAATTAATTTAGTAGAATCTCTCTGGAGGAAGCTGAAAATAGAGTTATGCAAGTTTCGTCATTCAACAATTGTCTTGCACCGAAATCTATACAATTTTCTGATCTAAAGCTTGGTGATAGTTTAAATCTATCGGAAGTTGACCGTTTGGTAATTCTTCTTCACAAATTTCGTAAGTGTTTCGCATTCGGACTTTCCGAATTAGGAAGTTGCACTGTAGCCTAGATGTCCGTTCGTTTAGACGACGACAAGCCTGTTGTTTACAGACCGTATAGATTGGCGAAAAAAAAGAGGAAATATCCAATGAAGAAGCATTAGCACATCTTGACATCATTATTCCTTCTCAGACCATCGATCAAGGGATAATAAAGCTACATTCTGTTCTTAAATCACTAGATAATGCGGGGCTTACGCACGCTTAAACTCTCAAAGTGTGTTCTTTAGCCTTTCCGCTGATTATTTAGGATTCGAAGTTTCGAGTGAGGGAATATGTCCTGGGGCAAGAAAAATTAAAGCAGTAGAGCTTTTTCGGGTATCAACTAATTAACACAACATTATGCAGTTCTTAGTATTAGCTAGTTTTTTCCAAAGATTTGTACAATGGTTTTTCGGTAACATCAAAACCATTGACAAAATTATTAAAGAAGGAGGCGACCTGGGAATGGGGACAGGAGCAGCAGAATGCTTTCAACACCTTGAAAGGGGCGTTGGTGGTAAAAAAAACCTATTCTGACTCTTTATAATCCATCGACTGAAACAGAACTTGACACAGATGATTGTAAGCTGGGTGTTTCAGGTATTCTGCTGCAAAAATTCGATAAAAATGGACTACGACCTGTCGCTTATTACAGCAAACAAACTACTCCAGAAGAGTAAAGTTATTCCTCTTACGAACTAGAAACACTAGCTGTAGTAGCTTTTCTACAAAAATTTCGCGTATAGCTTCTCTACAAAATTTCGCGTATAGCTTCTCTACAAAAATTTCGCTTATATTTGGTAGGAATTCGTTTCAAAATTATTGCCGATCGGTAACTCTTTACGAGCCACATTTTTAAAACGGGATATGCTGCCACGTGTTGCTCGTTGGTGGACTCTAATGCAAGGGTTCGATTTTTCTATTGAATACATGCCTGGCACATCAATGGCCCATGTGGATGCTCTTAGCCGTAATCCAGCATTGCCTGACGAAGATCTTAAGTTTAAGGATATTTTTCATGTTAAGGAAATTGACTGGCTTGTTACTGTACAAAACCCGGATACCGACGTACAGCGAATAATTGGTATTCTAAATAGTCTTAATTTAAACGTGCTTGATATTAAAAACAATTACAAATTGAAAAATGGCAAGTTATTTAGAAAAATTGCAGAGGGTGATAAGTGAGTTATGCCTAAGGGCGTTAGATGGCAAATTATAAAGCAAAATCACGATGACATTGGTCACTTTGGTTTGGAGAAAACTCTAAAGAAATATGTAACCTCTTGCCTTGAGTGTACATATTCTAAATCGGTCGTTTTCTAAATTAAAAAAAATAGAAATTACCTTTGATACAATTCACATTGATCATGTTGGACAGTTCGTAAGAATTAGTACAGGTTTTACGCATATTTTAGTTAGATAGATACATTTACTCATACTTAAAACCGGTTAGAAATACCAAATCTAGTACAACCATTAAAGTTATTCGCGTGTATATTAGTAAATTTGGCGCTCCAAGACTTATTATTTCCAACCGTGAGACTGCTTTTACCAGTAATACCTTTAAAGCATTTGTTCATGAAAAGGGTATAAAGCACATTCAAAATACTGTGTCTACCCCAATATCCAACGGACAGGTAGAACGTTATAACAAAATTATAATTGACTCTTTGACAACAAATTGTATCGGCACAGCAGATAACAAATGGGATTCCCACCTTCCAGATATACAATGGTGTATGAATAATACTTTTAATAAAGGTATTAACACTACACCATCTGAAGCACTCTTTGATTTTTATCTTAGGATTTCAAGCGATGATAAAATAATAACAGCTCTTGAAGACTTTGATAATTTAGAGTGTAATTGCCGTAATGTTGACACCATTCGATAGGAAATAAGCTCCCATATTAGTTCTTGCTAGTTAGCACAAAAAAAATCGCTTCGATAAATCTCGTTGTAGACTCATTAAATACAAAGTTAGCGATCTTATAAGAATAGAGACAAATCTCAGCTACCGGTAATAGCAAAAAACTTATACCTAAGTTTCAAGGTCCTTATAGAATCGTTAAGTTGTCGAAGATACCCCATTAACGCGAAGAAATAATAAACATTATTCTTCTGTGGTAGCTGTTGATAAAATAAAACGTGGCTAAATTTTCAGAGACTACATGATACGATGTTAAGTGATGGAAAAAGTGAATCCGAATCTGAATCTGAAATTGCGTCATAAATCTTAAAGGGCTAAATTGTTTTATAAGTGTATTCTAGACATCAAGTTGATTTTCTTTTAAGTGTTGTGTTTAGTGTGTGTGTTTGGTGTTCAGGACAAGAGGGGCCTGCACTAAAGTGATAAAAGTTTTAATGGTGTTCAGGACAAGAGGGGCCTGCACTAAAGTGATAAAAGTTCTAATGGTGTTCAGGACAAGAGGGGCCTGCACTAAAGTTATAAAAGTTCTAATGGTGTTCAGGACAAGAGGGGCCTGCACTAAAGTTATAAAATGTTCTAATGGTGTTCAGGACAAGAGGGGCCTGCACTAAAGTTTTAAAATGTTCTAATGGTGTTCAGGACAAGAGGGGCCTGCACTAAAGTTAAAAAAGTTCTAATGGTGTTCATAATTTTGTAATCAGGGCGAAAAGAGCCTGTAGAATACTTATAGGAGTGTTCAAAAATTGTTGTCTAATTGTGCGAGGACACACAATCTGTCAGATGGCCGAATCTGTTAGCATATTTTAATAATATATATTGTTATAATTAGTACTGTGGGTAATTAATTATTTTCTTACAATAAGTAGTTTCTTATAATAGCGGGTACATTAATATTTTAGATTTAGTTGAGCTATTTATTTTCGCTCACATTTATAACTGTGATGTAACATTGTTAAGATAATTAAAATAAATGTAAATCATGTTTTGTAATGTAAAAACATACTTAATAATATCCTATTTTATTGGAAACTTGTAACGGAAACCAAACAAGCGGCGCCATCTGTAGTTTAACAATGGTAAATTACAAGCCTATAAAATACAGATGTCGGCGGCTTGTTGGGAGTCTTTTTGGGAGAACTGTTGAGTAGAGAGAACGTACACGGAAGATAAATTGTGAGTATCAATAGGAATTGTTATACTTATTTTATTATTCTGTGTGTCTAATGTACATTGATGTTATTGTGGATGTCTATAACCTTGTTTAGATTTAGTGATATCTTGTACAATTAAGAAAATATATGATATTAGTGATGCATTGAGTGACTTTATTTAACAATACTTTTTGTATTTTCACTTCATTTTTTGCTGAAACGTTTTATCAGTGTTTTAAACATATTAGTAAATTATAACTCTGTGAAAATCAAATAGTTTTACATTGAATTTAATTAAGTTTGAACGATTTTATTGTTTTTGTTTAAAAGAAATCGCACTGAAGTAGTGTGACCATATTGATGATGTATCTGAGACTTTCCTTGTGACATTAACTAATTATATGTACATGTTTCTTGTTATGTTACCGGAAATGCATGAAATTTAGGAATTATGTACACTTCCTATATATTCTATATAATGACGGATTTCATAGATTTCATAATATTAAATTAAAAATGAGTAACATAATATATACTTTTGGTAGACAATTTATTTTTATTTAGTTTTTGTTTCTCATTATTCTGATACTTTAATAACGTTTATAATAATTATGTATTTAGAAATGTAGTAGTTTAGATGTATGATATAAAGCAACATTTTGTAAAATATGTTATTATTTGCAGACAATAAGTGCATTACATGAAGAGTCTATTGTGCAAATAGCTGCTCTGGCTGTAGCAAGCACTAGTTCTGGCATTTATGAAAGTAGTTCTGCACTTAAGGAAACAGAAGTGAAATGTACTGGCTGTAATATTGAAGACCAAACTAGTAAAAAACAATGTCGAAAAATTCTTGAAAATTTATGCAATCTTAACAAATTACCTGTAAGTGTCCTTTTCCTTTATTACTAAATACATACCTTTTATTTGTATTTATTATGACTTTAATATTACATTACATAATGTATTATATAGCTTAGAACACATACATATTTAAACTCTTTAGTGCCAATCGCAGTGTGGTAACCGTTACTACGACACTAAGCATAAACCTTTTTGTTTGATGCTTCATTTATGCGTGCTCATGAAGACGCGCTCCGGTGTATTATGTGTTACCTATTAAGTGATGTAAATTTGTACTGACATTATGATGTAGAAGAGTTATTTGTTTCTTTTTTTTGTTAGAGTTCTCTAATCTCTGGAACTATACCAGTCTGATTTGAAAATATTTTTTTGCATTTTTAAAACCAATTCTTCAGGAAGTCTATCTAACATCACGCTACGACCCTTATGAGTGGAGCAATACGATGTACGATGCTAAAAATACTGATTTCATAAAGTTTTCTTGTTTTCTTAGGTCAGCAGTGAATACGACGATCCCGCGAAGATTGATAGGGGCGTGCAAGTGAAAATAAAGTGTACTAAAGAAGAAATACTTGAGACGAAAACTAAGATTCTTAAGCAAAAAGTGGCGCGCCAAACTAAAAAATTCAGGATAGGTCTTCTTTAATGGACACTATTAAAAAGTATACGGGTCAGTCAGAAATTGAAAATATTATTCAAGTGCGCTTTGCTCATATCTGTAAGGACTTCAAAAAGCCACAGAGTAATCCACATGGTGTGAAAAATTCAATAAATAATTTTAATATGGAGTGTTTTTATTTTTTTTTAAGGTTTTTAACAAACCATGTAGTGGTGGTATGAGAATATCCACTACCCCATATCGTTCCGAGGGTGTTGTAAGAGGTGTCAGAGGGAAAATGAAACAGGAGATGGGCAGCGGCATCTTCCTGATAACAACTCAAAATAATAATATATTATCGTTCCTATTATAGTACATATGTTACTAGAAATCTATGAAATCCGTTATTATATAGAATTCCTAGGAATTGTAGATAATTCTTAAAATGAACTGGATGTGTGGAATATAGTATTATACACATTTCAGCTCAGAGCAGCCTGATTCTGATGGGTTAGGTCAGAAGGCTAAGGCAGGAGCTCCGCTACGCTGCTTTGGTCCTCGTGATATTTTTTTGAAATAATTGTCCAGAAATAGATTTAGTCTGTCTGAACAATAAATCAGGTATATTTTGCCCAATTCATTGATCACCCGAGGTTATAATAAATTTTAATTTTATATTTCGTTGGTACCGTTTAGGAATTGTATACAATAACCAGAAAATACATTATCGAAATGGTAGTTATAAAATATTCTCTGATATATTTATTTTTCACATTTTCTAAATAGGCTCGACATTATATGGGTTGTGACGGAAATGCGCAGTCATATTTTAATACCGGTTCTGCCCATGGAAATGAAAACCTTTCTTCATAAAACTAAGCAATTCCCAAAAAAAATTGTACAACAATATATAATCTATATAGGCTAGGTCTTAGTAGTAAACAGAGATATAGATATTTATAAATAAAACACTTAATGTATCTCAACTACTTATAGCAATATCCTGGGAAAAATAAAATAAAGGTTACCTACTTAGAAAGGGAGGGTCTGCCCACAGAGAGCGAGATAGTAATACATAGGTTAAGCTTCAAGTAGGTATTCGGAGTGTGGTCTCCATCTTTATCTATAACTTCATGGTGACAACGCATCTGCATTTTGATTTGTAATAGAGGATGTAATAGAGATGTAGATGTCTATGGGCCGCAGCAACCACTCATGAAGTTATAGATAAAGATGGAGACCACACTCCGAATACCTACTTGAAGCTTAACCTATGTATTACTATCTCGCTCTCTGTGGGCAGACCCTCCCTTTCTAAGTAGGTAACCTTTATTTTATTTTTCCCAGGATATCGCTATAAGTAGTTGAGTTACATTAAGTGTTTTATTTATAAATATCTATATCTCTGTTTACTACTAAGACCTAGCCTATATAGATTATATATTTTTGTACAATTTTTTTCGGGAATTGGCTAGTTTTATGAAGAAAGGTTTTCATTTCCATGGGCAGAACCGGTATTAAAATATGACTACGTATTTCCGTCACAACCCATATAATGCCGAGCCTATTTAGAAAATGTGGAAAAGAAATATATCAGAGAATATTTTATAACTACCATTTCGATAATGTATTTTCTGGTTATTGTATACAATTCCTAAACGGTACCAACGAAATATAAAATTAAAATTTATTATAACCCCGGGTGATCAATGAATTGGGCAAAATATACCTGATTTATTGTTCACTAAATCTATTTTTGGACAATTATTTTAAAAAAATATCACGAGGACTAAAGCAGCGTAGCGGAGCTCCTGCCTTAGCCTTCTGACCTAACCCATCCGAGTCAGGCTGCTCTGAGCTGAAATGTGTATAATACCATATTCCACACATCCAGTTAATTTAAAGAATTATCTACAATTCCTAGAAATTCTATATAATAACGGATTTCATAGATTTCTAGTAACATATGTACTAATAATAGGAACGATAATATATTATTATTTTGAGTTGTTATCAGGAAGATGCCGCTGCCCATCTCCTGTTTCATTTTCCCTCTGACACCTCTTACAACACCCTCGGAACAGGGTAGTGGATATTCTCACACCGCTACTACATGGTTTGTTAAAAACCTTAACAAAAATAAATAAAAACACTTTCCATATTAAAATTATTTATTGAAATTTTTCACACCATGTGGATTACTCTGTGGCTTTTTGAAGTCCTTACAGATATGAGCAAAGCGCTCTTGAATAATATTTTCAATTTCTGACTGACCCGTATACTTTTTAATATGTCCATTAAAGAAGACCTATCTTGAATTTTTTAGTTTGGCACGCCACTTTTTGCTTAAGAATCTTAGTTTTCGTCTCAAGTATTTCTTCTTTAGTACACTTTATTTTCACTTGCACGCCCCTATCAATCTTCGCGGGATCGTCGTATTCACTGCTGACCTAAGAAAACAAGAAAACTTTATGAAATCAGTATTTTTAGCATCGTACATCGTATTGCTCCGCTCATAAGGGTCGTAGCGTGATGTTAGATAGACTTCCTGAAGAATAGGTTATAAAAATGTAAAAAATTATTTTCAAATCAGACTGGTATAGTTCCAGAGATTGGAGAACTCTAACAAAAAAAAAAAGAAACAAGTAACTCTTCTACATCAGAATGTCAGTACAAATTTACATAATTTAATAGGTAACACATAATACACCGGAGAGCGCCTTCAAGAGTACGCATAAATGAAGCATCAAACAAGAAGCTTTATGCTTAGTGTCGTAGTAACTATTACCACACTGCGATTGGCACTAAAGAGTTTAAATATGTGTTTTAAGCTATATAATACATTATGTAATGTAATATTAAAGTCATAATAAATACAAATAAAAGGTATGTATTTAGTAATAAAGGAAAAGGAAACTTACAGGTAATTTGTTAAGATTGCATAAATTTTCAAGAATTTTTCGACATTGTTTTTTACTAGTTTGGTCTTCAATATTACAGCCAGTACATTTCACTTCTGTTTCCTTAAGTGCAGAACTACTTTCATAAATACCAGAACTAGTGCTTGGTACAGCCAGAGCAGCTTTGCACAATAGACTCTTCATGTAATGCACTTGTTGTCTGCAAATAGTAACATATTTTACAAAATGTTGCTTTATATCATACATCTAAACTACTACATTTCTAAATACATAATTATTATAAACGTTATTAAACTATCGGAATAATGAGAAACAAAAACTAAATAAAAATAAATTGTCTACCAAAAGAATTTTTTTTTTTTTTTTTATAGGAGAGGGGGCAAACGAGCATGCGGCTCACCTGATGGTAAGTGACTACCGCCGCCCATGAACAACCGCAACACCAGGGGAATTGCAGATGCGTTGCCGGCCTTTTAAAAAGGAGTAGGCTCTTTTCTTGAAGGTCCCTAAGTCGTATCGGTCCGGAAAAATCGCTGGTGGTAAACTATTCCACAAGGAAGTTGTGCGAGGAAGAAAACATCTTCTAAATCGCACAGTGGTGGACCGCCAATCATCCAGATGGTGTGGATGGTATCGGGAGTTCTGCCGCGATGTGCGTTCGTGAAATTTGGCGGCTGGGATTAATCCGAACAATTCCTCAGAGCACTCCCCATGGTAAATGCGAAAGAAAATGCTAAGAGATGCAACATCTCTTCGCAGTGCCAATGAGTCGAGCCGATCGGAAAGGACTCGGTCGTCGACGATTCGAGCCGCTCTGCGCTGGATGCGGTCAAGTGGAAGAAGCTGGCACTGGGGAGCCCCAGCCCAGAGATGGGAACAGTATTCCATGTGAGGCCGAACCTGCGCCTTGTAAAGTTGCAGGCGTTGAGCCGGCATGAAATACTGTCCCGCTCTGCTGAGCACGCCAAGCTTTTTAGAGGCCAATTTGGCCTTCTCTTCCAAGTGACCACGAAACTGCACGCTACTCGATATGTCGACGCCGAGGATTCCGATACTGGCTGAGGCAACAAGGGGAGTACCTTGAAACTGAGGAGATACGACAAAGGGGTTCTTTTTAGCGGTAAACGCGCAAACTTGTGTCTTCTGAGGATTAAACTGGACTAGATTTAGTCGCCCCCAATCCGAGACTTTGTCCAGCAAAGACTCGACTTCAGACACAAGTTTGTTCCGGTACTCGGTGACGTTTTCCCGAGAAATATTGGCACGGCCGGTGTATAGAGCATCACCAGTGCTGTCATCTGCATAGCAATGAATGCTACCAGCGTGCAACATATCATTGATATGCAGAAGAAACAGCGTTGGTGATAGCACGCAGCCTTGTGGAACACCAGCGTTAATAGGCTTGTAGTCGGAGCATGCACCGTCTACAACGACCTTGATGCTCCGATCTGCAAGAAAGCTGGTGATCCAATTGCATAATTTCTCGGGAAGCCCATAGGAAG